TATTTTGAAATGCCCCTATAATTTAGGTTAATATTACATGGGGTCATACGATTACACACAAAAGTGGATTATACCAAATTTTCTAACATGAAGAAGAAAAAAAACTATACAACGTACAATCGACTCTTATTCATAAATTTTTAGTGGTCCAAGTAAACAAGTGATAAATCAATGAATATTGGGGAAATTAATGGATGAGATCGAAGACTTGTGACTTAGACTTGGTATGGACCATATGGTGATTTGCCCGTCAATGCAACTATTGACTTAGAATTGATATGGTGATTTGTCTTCCAACGCGTGCCCCAATTGACTTGCAGAGGCTTGACTTGGTAAGGTGCCTTCCCGTGTCCAATCAACTGTTGGCTTTGCATCCCATCCTCCTAGGCACAAGCTATAAATATCTTCTTGCAAATGTGGACTTGACTTAAGTGAAACGTATGGAAATATCTCTACCCAACCCAATATTAATATAATACCTATATATTGATTGATACGAATAAATGAAAATTGAGGTTTTATTCAACAACTATAATATGAGAATTTTTCAAAACACTTTGGTTATTGACCAAGTCTATTTTGAAATGCCCCTATAATTTAGGTTAATATTACATGGGGTCTTACGATTACACATGAAAGTTTCTCGTATTATAGTGATGATCACGAAACACTTAGGTATATTTAGTGTTGAATATCTGATCATAGAGTTTCGGAGCAGGTTCCTCCATTTTGCATTCGGATTATTTGATTTGATTTGTTTTGTTGCTCATTAAATGATTAGTATATGAATTACTCAGTCCCGTTCTTCAGAACTCCTGTGGTCCGAGGAAGTTGTGGTCATCCACTCTTAAATGTGGATGGGATTGGTATCCTTGCCTCACTCTCTTTCCAATTCCATCATTGCCCCGTTAAATATTTTATTATAACGTATAAGATTTCAAGTATTTTAACTTTAAAATTAACTTAGATGGTGCTGCTCGTGGTTATTCTCGTGATTTTGGTAGCCGTTGTATTTGTATGCTACATCGACATATTTGTTATAAAATGTAGGCCTTGCAATTCCAAAACTCTAGACTAGGTACGCTATTTTTATTAACCTAAAAATTATTGTGACCATGTCTACTAAAAAATAATTTACCTATATTCTACATATCTAATACAAGGTAAATTATCTATATAAAAAATACGTAAATATTTACTAGCCTCTCCGCACTCGCTTCGGCGCCTGCGAGAGGCTTTTTTTAAAAAAAATTAAATTTTATTTTAGAATTAAAAAAGATAATGGGTTGTTGTTTTCCATAAAAATAGGATCCATTATCCGATTTTTCTTTTAATTTTAATTTTATAAATATGAAAAAGTGTGAATTTACCATTTTATTCTCATTTAATTAATAATTTCAATTCTTAATGTTAGCATTAACCAATGACATTTTATGGTATTTTGAATGTTTCACCATTCTTTGCCTTTTCCTTTATATATATATATA